TCCTTCCTTCCTTCCCCTCCCCTTCCTTCCTTTCTTTTTCCTTCTTTCCTCCCCGTCTCCTTTTCCTTCCTTCTTTTCCTTCCTTCCTTCCCCTCCCCTTCCTTCCTTTCTTTTTCCTTCTTTCCTCCCCGTCTCCTTTTCCCTCCTTCTTTTCCTTCCTTCCTTCCCCTCCCCTTCCTTCCTTTCTTTTTCCTTCTTCCCTCCCTCCCGCTCTTTTGTATTTTTTCTTTCTCTTTTTCTTTCTTCCCCTTCCCTTCCTTTCTACCTACCTTCCTTCCTTTCTCTCCCTCCCTCTATTCCTTCCTTCTTTCCTCCTTCTGCTTGTCAAAGCGAAGCTGAAACATTAGCAGCAGTTCAACCTACTTTTCACAAACGACACTTCCTTATTCATGTTGTATAAATCCAGGAAGCTCCAGCTTGGTTAATTACTTGAATGGGAAAATATTGGAGGGGGGGGGGAAGTTTTGAACTGGAGTAGCAAGCTTTGTTTTGAAAATAACAGATGCTGGTACTATTTTAGGCAATCTTGCCAAGAAAATCCTGCCTGGTTTTCCTCTGTGAAGTTGTCACGAGCCAAAATTGACTTGAAAGAAACCTGATTGTGGTTTTTTCCCCACTGTTCCTTTTGTGTGTGTGTGTGTGTGTGTGTATGGAGGGGGAGGGGGGAGCCAACAGTTGCAGAGTTTGTACAGTCCTTATTCTCTGGAGTCCCCATGGATTACCCACCACTTTTGTTTAAATAAATCTACTTAAAGAATAAAGAGGAGAAGAAGTCGCAAATGTCTACAGGTGTAAATTACCGGCTTTCCGCTTCTTTCACCTCCAATATTATTATTTTTTTTACCAAAAAAAGTGTGTGACCAAAAGGCAGCTTCAAAGACACCTTACCTGCCTCTAGAAACCTCACCACCTCACTTCGCCAAAATTCCCTTCTACCCACCCCCACCCACCCCCCACTTTTTAATGGTGTTTCTTTTCCTCTTCACACAATTACGCTTAAATAAAGATTGGGTTGTGCGAAGGGAGGAATTGATTTTAAAAACACCCGACCTTTTTCCTCGGCAACATCCCAGCACCCTCCTAATTTGTTAATTAATCTTTTCTGACAAATTTGTGGGTAGCACGAATATGTAACCTTCGTGCGTGCGGCTTTCGGAAAAAGGGGAAAAAAGCCACCACCTACCTTCCCACCCCTGGGACCATCTCGGTTTCACAAAGAGAGCGGGAATACATTATTATATGATGGATGTATCGATACTTTATACATGCAACCAAACACATCTTGCAGCTTTTCAAATTGGTTCTCATTTCAATTAACCTCAGAAAGTTTCCCCCCCAAAGTGGGTAACAGGACTTCACTTAAAATTCTTCTAGTTTTTGAAGTTCTTTAGCCCTGGCACTGTCTGAATTAGGGAATAATCTCTTTGAGCTTGGTGGTTTTCTTGCAGACGTTTCATTACCCAGCTAGGTAGCATCATCAGTGCTAGAAGGAAGGAGAGGGAGGAGGAGGAGGAGGAGCAGATTGTGGAGTCCTTGATGATCTCGGATCTCTTGCTTTCTTTCTTGCAGACATTTCATTACCCAAACTTGATAGCTTTACCACTGCTGGTGATGTTATCTAGTTTGGCTCACGAAACATCTGCAAGCAAACTACTCAGATGGCACCAAGGAGCCCTCATGACACCCCTGAGCTGCAAATATTCCCCTTTATTCATACACAGAACATAGGACAATAGGGTGGGAAGGGCCCTTGGAGGTCCTCTAGTCCAACCTTCTGTTTGAGGATCCCAGACAAATGTCTTGCCAATCTCTTCTCGAGGCCCTGCCTTCCGTTGATGGGCACCTGCAACTTNCCAGAAACCCCACTCCCTTCTGGCACTGATGATGTTCCCTAGTTGGGTCATGAAACGTCTGCAAGAACGCCAAGGTCTCTGAGCACCCCCAGAGTTCAGCCCTGAGCCACAATTATTCTCCCCCACCCAAAACATCTTAAAACAGGCCCATCGCACTTTCAGAGTCCATTTCACTTGAAACCACGCCTGGCCTGAGTCCCTTCGTACCCCTCGGTGAGCGTTTCCCCTGGAACCTGAGGTGGAGATGTCCTTCTCTGAGAAGGGAAACCGAAGCCTTCCACCTTCCCGTAGGAGGCACATCGTTTGCCCAGAGGACCGAAATACACGTTTTTGTGGTTTGGCAAAGCGGAGGGAGAAATCTCTTCCCGTGTCCTCCATCCACTCTGGGCCTTCATTGGTCCCACAAATGGACCCTTCAAAAGTTCAGACCAGGAGAAGGAAGGCAGTTTGGGGACCAACAATCCGCACAGGCCAGAGAGCCCCCACCTGAGGGCTCAAGGGAAGCTCTCCTCAGGCTGCCTCGTTCCCTAAAACGACCCTTTCCTTCCCTCTCTTGCTGCAGGCTCAAAGCCTCGGGACTGTTTTGACATCTACTCCGGTGGCCAACAGGGCGATGGGGTCTTCTCCGTCTTCCCCACCCACTACGCCGAGGGGTTCCAGGTTTACTGCGACATGACCACCGATGGTGGAGGATGGACGGTAAGGGAGTCCCTTCTCCCCTCTGAGCTGGAGCCCCTTGGCCTCCCCTCAAGATGCAAGGGAGGAGAAAGGAACCAGGGAGGGAGGGGGGGTTTCTTTCTCGAGGAAGGGGCAAGGAAATCTGTTCTCTTGGGCAGCAAGGGAAGGGATGGGTGGGTCGGAAGGAGCTTGGAAATTGAAAAGAATTTCTAAAAATGTCTATGAACCTATATCCTTCCTCGACTCCTGCCAATGTCTCTGCTCTTCAGCTATGAGGAAGTTCCTTTCTTTCTTTCTGTTTCCTTCCTTCCTTTTTCCCCATTTTATTCCTTTCTTCTTTTTTCTGCTTTTCCTGCCTCCCTTCCTCCATCCTTTCCTCCCTCCTTCCCTCTTTCTTTTTTTCTTTCCCTCGTTCTTTTTTCTTCTGCTTTTCCTTTCCTCCCTCCCTCCCTTCCCTTCCTTTTGCCAGGCATCCAACCTTCTTTCACCCTTGGGAGAATAAAATCTCCCTCTTTTTTTAACCTACACCCCAAAGTCCATCATAATGTTAGAAAAGAAATGGTGACCACATTTGATTATATATTTTTTTCAGGGGTGGGGAGGAGAAAAACAACCAGCATGGGCTTCATCGTGCGGGTGTAAAATAAACTAATTTCCGGAGAACAGCAGATGGGAAATAAATCTATACAAGTGTAAATGTGAAAGATTGCAATAATGTCAACTTTATTATTAATAGATGTGGATGCCTGGGCCATTTGCAGTACAGAAAAGGGGCTGTTTGATATGCCAGCAGTTAGAGGCTCTCTGGGTACAGTTGAATTGATACACCATCATCAACATAATGAGCCTCGGTTTGTTTTAGCGTAGAATGTTAAGTGCTTTCTAAAGAACAGTTCAGATCCGCGGTTTGCAAACTTGGTAACTTTTAAGATGTGTGGACTTCAACTCCCAGAATTCCCAGGCTGGATGAGGAATTCTGGGAGCTGGTTCACACATCTAAAAGTTGCCAAGTCTGATAATTTAAAAAACAAAACCCAGCAACACCAGGTTTAAAAGCTTTTCTGGGCCCCAGAGTTTGCTGCTTAATCTTCTCCATTGCTTTCCCTTGTTTGATTCCCATCCTGAGCAAGGAAAAGGTTCCTGTGCCTTAAATCAATAAACCAAATCCGGATCAGTTTCTCATGGACTGTCACTATTTCATTCTATTTTTCCTGGAAAGAAATCTCACCCTAAACTTGTTGGTTGGGAATTTGAGGATCATAAAACCAACTTCCTTCCTTCCTTTTTCCTTCTTTCTTCCCTTCCTTCCCCTCCTCTCCTTCC